TGGGATAATTGGGATGGGAGTGTCAGAGACAGTGCGATTGGCACAGGACAGAGCGGAGTTTAGGGCTGTTGTACATAGGGTCGCTATGAGTCACAGGAGACTCGACGGCACATAACAACAACAACATATTAAAATGAAGTCATAGGGGCCCAAGCATGCCCCACCGGACGTACATCTCTGTCCCAAGTAGAGAAAACAGAGCCAAATGGTAAGAGAACTAAAGCAGAGGGGAAGGAAAAAAAAATAATAAAATGAAGTCATATTGGCTGGTTAGGGTGGGCCCCAAAGCGAATGACTTGTCTTCTAAATAATAAGGTCATGCAGGCAAAGATACACAAAGGACAGCCATGTGGTGACAGATGCAGAGACTGGAAGAATGCAACCACAAGCCAAGGAATGACAAGGGTTGTCAGTGTTAGGTTAGGTTAGGTTAGGTAGTGAACTTAAAGAAAAAATCAGAGAGAAAGAGAGAAAGCTTAATGCAGCTTTATTAAAGGGGGGAAAGGGGAGCTCCCGGGTGAGTTCCTCATCCTGGAGAGGCAGAATGGGAAGTCACACTGTGAACTTACTGGGGAGGATTTTTATAAAGAGAGTCTTTAGGGAGGAACATTCCATTCTGATTTAGGAGCCACCTGCTAGCTTAGCCAGCCAGGCAAGGCCATTTGCCGTCTTATCTGCAGCAGGCAAGGCCATCAGCATTTGAGTTCTGAATTCTTCATTCTTCTCTTTGGCCCTCTTTGCCCAGACTAACAGTCAGGAACCATCAAAAGCTAAGGCAGGCAGAATAACAGTGGGTGTGAAAGGAGCAGGAAGTGGTGAGCTTCTCTTGAGGTCCGTGTCTGGGTAACTGAGTGGACAATGGGGCTTCCCCTGTGATAGGGAATTGGGAGAGGAAATGCTCTGAGGGAAGGTGCTGAGGTCAGTCTGAGATTTGATGACTTTGATGGACCTGTGGGATGCTCAGGGGAAATGGACAGTCTAGACATCTGTGGGACCACATGGTATCAGGGAGGCCCTGTGTTTGGGGTGTATTGAGGTCCTCGCACAGAGGATCACAGGGTGAGGTGGGGAACGGGACTCTGTCCACGGCCTAATCAACCATTTTCGTTGCCAGAGATGTTCTTGATAAGGTATTCGCGCTCCTCAAAATGATCGGAATGGTCTTTAGCGCTCTTCCATAATCTAGCTTTACACCCTCTGGTAAGGAAGGGGGACCCCCGTGGCTGACCCAAGCCTCCCGGCAGAATGGGTGCTTGAACGAGGACGAGAGGCTGTGTTTTCGCATGGCGTCGTCCCAGTACCGGTACCACGCACGACAAGGGCACACATAACTTCAAGTTTGACCTTGTTGAAAATGTGGACAAATGGAGAGAGCGAGCGAGCCAGGACCTGTGCTAGGGATGGTAGACCTCAACTCCTTTCATGAAAAAAGTTGAGGGAAGCTTCATAGCAAAGTACACGCTTTGTTAGGAGCTGGGTGAGAGACACACAGACGCATTACCAAGGCAGGTGGAAAGGCCTCTGTCACCAATTCCAGGAAAAAGTAAAAATGAAAAAAAAAAAAATCATCCTGTTTCTATTATAACAGTACAATTTGCGTGGCTCTCCAGAATCTCTTTGGAAAATAATGTGTACTCTGTAATATATTGTATATTTGAAATTTTATTATCATTTATATTATAGCTATATTTGTTAAATAAATTTGAAGCTAAAAAAAAGATAATGCGGACAGCATAAGATAGCAGAATCCCTCCTAGACCCTCGCCAACGAAGCTGGGAGCCCTCGCGCGGCGTGTGTTGGCGTAGGTGGTTTGGAAAGACGAGTCACCGCGCGGGTCCCCGAAACCAGGTCAACGATCCCCCAGGCGGTGCCTCTGGCGGCTGACAGACCTCGGGGCTGGACGCAGGCCGGCCGCGCATGCGCAGAGCGCGCACCGCCCGAGCGCCCCCGCGACGTGGCCCGCCCCCCCCGGCGCGCCGTGCTGACGTCGCACGACGTCACGGCAGAGTTGCCATGGCGTCGCTGAGCGGCCTGGCGTCGGCGCTGGAGTCGTACCGGGGTCGGGACCGCCTGGTGAGGCTGGGTCCGGATGCTCTCGGGCCGGCGGGAGGCGGCCCCGGACCCGCGGTCTGTCCCGCTCGGTGGAGACCTGCGACCTGCGTGGCGGAAGTCGCCATGAAGCGGGGCCGGAGGCCATAGAGTTCTGTTCTCGGTCCGAGACGGGGCAACTGGGGCCCCCGAGCGGGGCAGGGTCGTTCAGCGGCCGTCCGTGTCGCCGTCCTGGGCCGGCGGGGCTCGAACCTCGGCCCCTAGCGTTGGGCGTGTGGGTCTTCCCAGCTAACCCAGCCGGAAATTCCTTTTTATGAACCTCGCCCCCAGCACTGACATTTAGGATCCTTGGTCCTTGGCTTGCCCCAGACAATCTCACACTGAGATATGCCCCAGGGATCCCCCGGCCAGATCCCTTCTAGTTGGGCATTTATTAGGTGGTTTGAGCCAAGCCGGGAACCAGGAATGAAAGCCACGCCCCTGTGGTTGGTGAGGCCAGCCGTGATTCCCTAGAGGTTGGTGGTTGTTGTGTACCACCGAGTCGGAACCGACCCGAAGCCGACTTTCCAGCGGGCTTTTTCAGAGGCAGTAAAGAGCGTAGGTGATTGCCCAGCCTTCTCCCACAGAGCAGCTGGTGGATTCGAATCGCTGGCCTTTGCATTGGCAGTGCAATTTCTTACCACTAGGCCACAGGTCCTAACTATATCCCCTGTCATTGGCTACTTGGAGCCTCCAGGCCAACCCGGCCTGGCTGGAAATATTTATCCGTCACGTCCTCATGATTGTCCCAGATAATCTCAAAGGATTTGGCTAGGGTCCCCATCAGCTGGACGTTTCAATCCCAGCCAAATCCCCTTTGGTTGGGGACTCAGCTGTCACAGCTGGGCCTGGGGCTGGGCTCAGATTGTCCTGACCAGTCCCCTAGAGGAAGACATTGAAGTTGTACCAGGGAGCACCCTGCCTGGGCATTGCTGCCCCAGCCAAACTCGCAGTGATTGTGTCTCCTTTTTCAATAACCCCTCGTCCCAAAGTTGGTTATTTAAATTGCAGTGTTCTGCAAGTACAGTGGGGCTGGAAATGAATGGCAAATAAAAATAATACATAGAACAAATCAGAATGCCCGTAGCTGACCCTTCGGTGGGTTTTCAGAGGCAGGAAATCACATGAAAGGAGATGGTCCATCTTTCACCCCTGGTGCAGCTGGTAGATTTGAACCATGTGCCTTTGGGGTTACATCACAGCTTCTTACCACTAGACCACCCTCATAGAGCAAGAGGAAAAAGTAATTTTGGAAAAAAACTGATGAAATAATTAATGGCCTAACCCAGTTTACAATGTTACATGTCACCTACTGAATAGGTTGTATCTCATAACATGGTTCTTGCAAACTTGTTGACTGGGTTGAGGCCAGGCCACTTGCTTTTCAGCCCTCTTTTAGTCCAACTAAAAGAACAGTTACCATGGGGTTGAGTCCAACCCAAGGCGACCTCATGATTTGTGCTCCATAAGGTTTTCAATGGCTGATTCTTAGTAGATTGCCAGGCTTTTCTTCTGTGGTGCCTTTGGGTGGCCTTAAATCTCAAGTGGCAGCTGGGTGTGTTAATGATCCACTCAGGGACTCCTTGGTCCACGTTCCACTGCAGTGGAGTTGATTCTGAATCATGGTGACCCATGGTGACCAGCGGAAACTGCCTCTTCATTCTCTCTTGGCGTGGCTGGTGGGTTTGAACTGCTGATCTTGGGTCCACCTGGTAGGAATGTGCCATCAGCTTAGTCCTGCCTGCTGGATAAAGGAGGATGTGCTGGGAAGTCTCCTCCCATGTGATTTACTGCCTCTGAGAACATGCTGGAGGGTCAGCCATGGGTAGGCTCCAACTCAATGGTAACAATAGCAACAGGGTGGGAAGGGAGCTCTGGTGGCTTAGTGACAAGGAAATGCGCTGCCAGCCCCAGGGCTTTTGGTTTAAATCCCCCCACTACTCTGCAGGAGAAAGTGGAGAGTCTCGTCCCGTGCAGTTTACTGCCTCTGAAAACCCACTAGAGAGTCAGCCCGGAGTTGGTTCTGACTTGGTGATACATACGTAACAGCAGCAAGAAGGTGAAAAAGGGGGATTTTTTTTCTTGTCTCTGTCACATCTATTTCTAAAGGCTGTGCCCTGGTGACATAAGCCAGCAACGCTCTGAGAGCCTTGACATTACCTTTTAGATACCGAGGCCATGTTTCTCCAGCAGTCCCTTTTAAACTGTCACCTTATATTGATGGGCTGTTGATCTCCCATGTGCTGGATCCCCTGCAGCCAGGCTGGGGTGAACCAGCCCCAGTTAGGAATGGCACCCTGTCTCTGGTTTGCTGCAGATCCGAACCCTGGGGTACTGCTGCCAGCTGGTTGGCGGGATCCTGGTGGAGCAGAGCCCGGCACGGGCAGAGGTGGGGACTCGCCTGTTGACAGTGTCCACCCAGCTCAGCCACTGCAGGACCGTGCTGCGACTCTTTGATGACCTGGCTATGCTGGCCTACACGAAGCAGTATGGCTGGGGTGCAGAGGTAATGGGGTGCCCTGAGGCTGTGGGGAGGTGAGGTGTGGGCTTCAGTCAGTGTTGGACGAACTTGTCCTGAAGGGTCCCTGGATGGAGAGTTCCTTTTTATTTCTGTTTTGAAACAATCAGATGTTGTAATTTTAATTTAAAAGTTTTTTAAAAATTTTTTAAAATAAATATATTCCAACTCCAAAAGATTCCGGAAGAGTCTAAGTTAGGTGCTGTTGAGTCAAGTAGGACTCATAGTGGCCCTATGAACAACAGCTCTCAAGCCTGTCCTGTGAGTGTGTCATCGCAGACACACTCAGGCCCCTTCCTGCAGTCACCGTGTCAGTCCACCTGGCTGTGGGTCTTCCTCTCCTTCACTGTCTCTCAACCTTTCCAAGCATAATGTTCTTCTCCAAGAAATAACCTCTCTTAGCAACATGCCAAAGTAAGTGAGACAAAGTTTCACCCTCCTTGCCTCCAAGGAGCACTCTGGCTGCACCTTCTCCACTCTGGCTGTTTGTTCTTTTTGGCTGTCCATGGGATAGTCAGTATTCTCTTTCCATCTCCACAGTGTAAAGGCATGAATTCTTCTTTGTCATCTTTATTCATTGTCCCAAGTCTCAGTAGCATAGCAAGTGAGTAAAAAGACAATGGCCTGAATCAGGCGCACCTTAGTCTTCAAACTGACATCAGTGCGCCTCAATAATTTGAATAAGAGTATATGGGGGGGGGAATCTCCCCTTTCCTGGTCTGTTAGGTTCCTACTTTTCTTGTATTTTCTTAAGATTTCTTGTAGCTACACAAATGCTTTATATCGCAGGCGACTCAATGCCACCTAACAACATGACAGGTTTGGAAGCAGGAGTGACATCCACTTCCTAAATAACATGCCCCTGGAAACTGTGAACTTTGATAAATGTCGATAGTTGTAGAGGGGCTTCAGGCCTTTTGTTCATGGAGTCGAGATGAAATGTGCTCGACTCGAAGGCAATCCACAACAAGAACAAATAAGCCAAAAACCAAACCATTTTTTGAATTACTTCTGACTCACAGCAATGCTGATGCAGGTGAACCACCTAGTAGAGAACCTCCCACCTTTTAAATTGTAATGTGAGTAGATGTTTATAGAGCAAATTTCTTTCCTGCTCAAGTGCACTTTTTTAAATTGCCTTTCTTGATAATAGCTCCAGTGTAACTGCACACCCTACAATGTAACATTTCCTCCCTGGATTCTCACTGAGGCCCCTCCCTCTGTCCTGCCTCTCCTGCCCTCTGAGCTTTAGCCCTGGGCACATGCCACCCTTTTGATCTTATATATTTGGTTGTGCTATGAAGTGGCTCCCTGGTGTGACTGTCCATCTTTCAGGCCTGTCTGTTCTTTGGCTGAAAGTTGAGCCATGGAAAGGAGCTTTATTCCAGGCATGAAGGGTGACTAAGGGCCATCATCTCAGGTCTTTTCCAGTTTCTGTTAGGCCCGTAAGCCTAGCATTTTTTTTTAAAATTTTATTTATGTATGTATGTGTGTGTGTGTGTGTGTGTGTATACCATCAAATTGGATCTGACAGGTACAGGAGGTGATTGTTCCTCCTTCTTCAGCAGAGCATCTGGTGGATTTGAACCGAGTACCTCTGTGATTGCAGTGCAGTTTCCTGCCACTAGGCCACCAGAGCTCACCAAGCCTAGCATTTTTGTGTATGTTGTAGTTTGTATTTTGGGTTTGTTCCCGCTCCCCACTTTGTTCTACATTCATCGTCCTTTGAGCCTCTGACTCTCACCTGTGATTCCTTCACACTAGCCAGGGACCATCTGTTGTTGTTGTTGTTATGTGCCGTCGAGTCGTTTGCGACTCATAGTGACCCTATGTACAACAGCCCTAAACCCTGCTCTATCCTGTGCCAATCGCACTGCCTCTGACACTCCCATCCTGATTACCCCAGTCACTGAATCAATCCACCTCATAGAGGGTCTTCCCCTCTTGCGCCATCCCTCCACCCTCCCAAGCATGATGTCCCTCTCCAAGGACCTGTCCCTCCTTGCAACATGTCCAAAGTATGTCAGACGAAGCCCCAGAATCCTTACCTCCAAGGAGTTGCTTGGTTTAATCCTCTCCAGGATGAATCTGTTTTCTTGGCAGTCCATGGTACATTCAATACTCTTCTCCAGCACCACAGCTCAAAGTCATCAATTCTCCTTCTATCCTCCCTAGTCATTGTCCAACTCTCTGATGCATAACAAGTGATTGCAAAGACCATGGCCTGTATCAGGCACACCTTAGTCTCCAGAGAGACACCGTTGCTCTTGAGTACTTTAGAGAGGTCCTTAACAGCAGACTTTCCCATCGCAATACGTTTTTTGATTTCCTGACTGCTGGTGCCAGTAGTGGAGACGAGCAAACTGAAGCTGTGAACAATCTCAATCTCTTTGCCATCCATCCTGATGCTACCAATTGGTCCAGTGGTGAGAATCTTTGTCTTCTTGACATTGAACCTCAGTCCATACTGAAGGCTGCAGTCCTTGACCCTCTGCAGCAAGTGCATGAAGTCCTCCTCAGTTTCAGCAAGCAGGGTTGTGTCATCTGCATAATGCAGATTGTTAATAGATCTTCCACCAGTCCTGACACCACACTTCTCCTCATAGAGCCCAGCCTCCCGGATAATCTGCTCTGCATACATGTTGTAAAGCTATGGAGACAGGACACATCCCTGGCGTATACCCTTCCCAATTTTGAACCATGCGGTGTTACCCTGCTCTGTTCTGACTACTGCCTCTTGGTCCAAGTATAGGTTTCGCATTAGCACGATTAAATGTTCTGGGATTCCCATTCTTCTCAGAGTCAGCCACAGTTTGTTATGATCCACACAGTCAAACACCTTTGCATAATCAATGAAACACAGGTAGACATTCTTCTGGTATTCCCTGCTTTCAGCTAAGATCCATCTAACATCAGTTAAAATATCCCTAGTACCACGACCCCTTCTAAACCCAGCCTGGACTTCTGGTAGTTCTCTGCTAATGTGCTGTTCCAGTCGTTTTTGGATAATCTTCAGTAGAATCTTGCTTGCATGTGAAATCAATGATATTGTTCTGTAGTTTCCACTCTCAGTTGCGTCACCCTTCTTTGGAATGGGAACAAATATAGATCTCTTCCAGTCAGTTGGCCAAGTGGTTGTTCTCCAGATTTCTTGGCACAACTTGGTGAGCACGTCCAGGGCAACATCTGTTATCTGAAATACTTCAATTGGTATATCATCTATTCCTGGGGGTATGTCCTCCCGGGGGGGGGGGGGTGTCTCCTCTCTGAGCCCCTCCCTGCTCAGACGCTCCCTGCCTCTGGCCTGGCCTCCGCAAACCTTCGGGAATTCACTGGACCTGCCTCCTGGCTTACTCCTATGGTTCTTGTCTGACTGGGCACTTCTCCTACATCCCTGGGGCTCCTCCCCACCCTGGCATCAATATGTCTCCTCTGTGAAGGAATTCGGAGTCCCCAGCAATGTCTGGAGATACTTTACTGTCACCACTTGGAGGACAGGACCACTGGCATCAAGCTGGTGCAGGCCAGGGATGCTGCCCCTCACCCTGCAGTGCACAGTGCCCCACCCCCAGAACGACTGGCTCTGCAGAGTCCGAAGTGCTGAGGGGAGGAGCCTGCCCCAGGTCCTGGCCCATGTGGGCTGGATCGCAGGTGGACTTTGCCTCCCTGCCCTCTGCCTTAGATATCTAGTGCTGCTGCAACAGATCGATTATAGGCGATGGCTTCAGCAAGCAGAAATGTATGCTCCACAGTGCCGAAGGCTGAAGTTCAAATTCAGGGTGTTGTCTCTCGGGGCTGGCATTCTCTCTGGGTTGGTTCTAAAGGAAGGTGCATGTCTGCCTCAACAGTTCCATGCATCTTGACCTGCCCCTGTGCCCTGGGCCCAGGAACTTCCCAGCTCAGGGACCTGGGTCCGAAGGACTCACTCTACCCTTGGGCTTCTTTCTTGGTTCTGTGTGGTCCCCCTTCTCCTGTCAATGATTTTATCTTTTGTGTATGAAAAAAAAAGATGATACAGGCCACAGCCCAGGGATGCTCCAGGTCAGGGCTGCGATGGGCTTCATTGAGCTGCATCCCACTTAACACTGATTGGCTGATCACATCTTGGATCACATCGTGGGGACCAACCACATCATTACATGACGCTCTGGTCCTGCCTCACTGACGTCATGGTGTTGTTAGGTGCTGCCTAGTCGAGTACGACTCCTCCTGGAGACCCTGTGAACAGATCTGGGTGCCGCCCTATCCTGTGCCAGCCTCCTCCTCCTGACACACTAGAGCCTTGGCCGCAGTCACTGTGGCCATCTATCTTGGTAAGAGTCTTCTTGTCCTTCGCTGTCCTGCCACTTTTCCAAGCATGATGTTCTTTTTCTAAATAACCTCCCCCAGCAACATGCCCAGAGTACGACAGATGAAGCTTTGTCATCTTTGCCTCCAAGGAGCACTCTGGCTACATCTTCTCCAAGACAGATCTGTCCTTTCGGCCGTCCATGGGATATTCAGCACTGCTTCCCAACACAGCTCAGAGGCATCATTCTCCTTCTGTCATCCTTATTCATTGTCTAGCTTTCAGATGCATAGCAAGTGACTGAAAAAAAAAACCACCAAAAACCTGAAAAACCAAAACATGGCATGAATAAGGCACAGTTGAGTCTGCAAACTGACGTTATTGCTTCTTGGTAATTTGGAGAGGTCCCTGGCTGCACACTTGCCCAGTGGGTTATGTCTCCTGATTTCCTGACTGCTGGTCCCAAAGGTCTCGATTGTAGAGCCAAATAAAATGAAGTCCTTGACAGTTTCAACCTTTTCTCCATCTATCAAGATCAGTGGTGTGTAGTTTTTTCCCTTGACATTGCAATGCAATCCATATTGAAGACTGTAGTCTTTGATCTTGCTGCATAAGATCACCATATCATAGATGCCCTGATTTACACCATGTAGGATACTTGTACTGAGAATCATTACCTATCAAAGTTGACACAGATTTTGTTGTTCTTGTTAAGTGCCATCAAGTTAAGTCCAAGCCAGTGACCCTATGAACCAAGAACCTATCTGAACCCTGCCCTATCCTGTGCCATCCTCACACTTCCTGACACACAGAGCCCATTGTTGCAGTCACTGTATCAACCCACCTGGTTGAGGGTCTTCCTCTCCTTTGCCGACCCTGGACCTTTCCAAGCATCATGTCACTCTGCAAGGAATAGCCCCTTTTAGCAACATGCCCAAAGCATGTGAGGCAAAGCTTCATCATCCTTGCCTCCAAAGAGCACTCTGGTTGCACTTTCTCTAAGACATATTTGTTCTTTTGGCAGGCCATGGGATGTTGAGTACTTTTCTCCAACACCATAGCTCAAAATCATCAGTTCTTCTGTCATCCTTATTTATTGTCTAGTTCTCAGATGCATAGCAAGTGATTGGAAAGACCATGGCCTGAATCAGATGCACCTCAGTCCTCAAATTGACATCATTACTCTTAAAAATGTTTTTTCTCCAGTTTTTATTTTTTATAGAGAATTTGGGTTTCCGTTCTTTCATTGTTGCACATTTCCCTCCCTGTCCACCCCCCCTCCATAGATCACTTTTCTCTTTGAGAAAAAAAAAATCTTTCATTGGTGTATATTTCCCCACCCCCCACCCCAGTTCACTGTACTATGCAGCTCTTATTCTGGACAGTTGTCATACAAATAATACCTAATCATATATTCCTTTTATGTAGTTCTTTTTCTCATCTGTTTCAATGCAGTGTACGTTATTTATCCCCTCTTTTCTTAGTTTCCCCCAACCCCGATGTCCTATTTTATAACAGTGGCATTATGCAGTATTTGTCCTTATGTGACTAAGCTATTTCATTCAGCATAATGTCCTCCAGGGTCACTCATTTTGAATAATATTTCATGAATTCCTTGTTTTTCAATGCAGCGTAGTATTCCATTGTATGAATATACCAAAACTTCTCTATCCATTTATTTGTTGGTGTGCACTTGGGTTGTTTCCATCTCTTTGCTATTGGGAACAATGCAGCAATAAACATAGATGTGCATATGTATCTGCTTGGGTGTCAGTTATGGTCTCTTTGGGGTATATTCCCAGTAGTAGAACTGCTTTGTCAAATGGTATTTTTATTTCCAACTTTTTGAGAAAATGCCATACCGCCTTCCACAGTGGTTGTACCATTTTACACTTCCACCAACAGTGAATAAGGGTTCCAGTTTCTCTACAACCTCGCCAGCATTTGTTGTTTGCTGTTCTGTTAAATTTTGCTATTCTTACTGGGGCGAGATGATATCTCATAGTTGTTTTGATTTGCATCTCTCTTAGAGCTAGGGAATTTGAACATTTCTTCATGTGGTAGGTTGCTGGCCATCTGAATGTCTTCTTCGGTGGTGTCTGTTCATATCCTGTGTCCATTTTTCAATTGGGTTATTTACCTTTATCTTTTTGTGGTGCTTGAGTATTTTACAAAATCTAGATATGAGTCCCTTATCAGACATGTCATTACCAAATGCTTTTTTCCCAGTCTGTGGCTTCCCTTTTTACCCTGTTGGAGAATTTTTTTGATGTACATAGGGATTTGATTCTTAGAAGGTCCCATTCAGCTATTTTATCCTTTCCTGGTTGTAGGTGACGTCATTGGCTTTTTTTCCCCCAAGGGGCAGCAGAGTGAGGGGGTGCAGGTGTTTTGCTGCATTTCTGTGTGGGCACCTGGAGGGTGGAGGTGCATCAGCGATCTCGGTGGTTTAAACGTCACATCATTGGCTTTTCCAGTGCAATATGTCTCATGATTTTCAGTTTCAATCTTCTTCTTCTATCATGATGTTGCCTATTGGCCCAGTAGTAAGAATTTTTGTTTTCTTGACATTGAGATGCAATTCATAGCAAAGGCTGCATTCGTTGGTCTTCTGCTTCAAGTTCTCCTCTCTTTCAGCAGACTGAGTTGTGTTATCTGCATAATTCAGGTTATTAATGAGTCTCCCTCTGATTCTGATGCCACATTCCTCATAGAATCCAGCTTTTCTAATGCTTTGCTCGGCACACAGACTGAATAGGCCTGGAGAGAGAATACAATCCTGACACTCTCCCTTCTTACTTTTAAACGATGCTGTGTTCCCTTGCTCTGTTCGCACAGCAGTCTCTTGGTCTAGGTATAGGTTTCACATGAGCACAATCAAGTGCTCTGGGATTCCCATTCTTCTCAGTGTTAATCATAACTTGTTATGATCCACACAGACAAATCCCTTTGCATAGTCAATAAAGCATAGGTAGACATTCTCCTGGTATTCTTTACTTTCTGCCAGGATCCATCTGACATCAGCAGTGATATCTCTGGTGCCACAGCCTCTTCTAAGGCCTGTGGGGATGCGCATTGTGACATAGCAATCTCCGCCCACTGGTCATCAGAATCAGGCAGGATTGAGAACACCAGCATGTCCAGGGGTGGGCACTGCTCTGAGCTCCGTGTTCAGCCTTGTTGGGGTGTTGCTTGCCTGGCCTGGACAGCGCCCTTGCCACTGTGGCTTGGCTAGACCAGGGCCCTCAACAGGCCTGTTCCTGCTCTGCAGGAGGAGGACATCTTCATCCGCTGGGTGTCTGTTCTGGGCAACCTGGCCGACCAGCTCTACTACCCTTGTGAGCATGTCGCCTGGGCCGCTGAAGCCAAGATCCTGCATGTGGACGCTGCCCACTGGTGGACGCTCAGCACAGCTCTCTGGGGCCTCTCTCTGCTCCTGGGCATCGCCAGGTAAGTGGTTGGGCAGGGGACTCTGAGTAATCCTGTCATTCTGGGTGGGCCCATGAGGGAGCTAGTGGCCCCACTGGGGAAGGCTGTCTCCAACCTGAGGGCTTCCAGCCTCTGCCTCTTCTCCTACAAGCCTGCTGCGGTCCCCTTGAGCCTGCCGTGGTCCCCTTCAGCCTGCCATGGTCCCCTGGGGTCTGCTGTGGTCCCCTGGGGTCTGCCGTGGTCCCCTTGAACTTGCCGTGGTCCCCTTGAGCCTGCCATGGTCCCCTTGAGCCTGCCGTGGTCCCCTTCAGCCTGCCATGGTCCCCTTCAGCCTGCCATGGTCCCCTGGGGTCTGCCGTGGTCCCCTTGAGCCTGCCATGGTCCCCTTCAGCCTGCCGTGGTCCCCTTGAGCCTGCCATGGTCCCCTTCAGCCTGCCATGGTCCCCTGGGGGGGTCTGCCATGGTCCCTTGGGGTCTGCCGTGGTCCCCTTGAGCCTGCCGTGGTCCCCTGGGGTCTGCTGTGGTCCCTTTGAGCCTGCCGTGGTCCCCTGGGGTCTGCTGTGGTCCCCTTGGGCATGCCGTGGTCCCCTTGGGCATGCCGTGGTCCCCTCAAGCCTGCTTGTGGCCTCCATGGGCCTGCGGTGGCCCCTCCTGCATCCTCAGGGCATGGTCCTCCAGCCCTTGTTTCCTTTATCATCTCTCCTCCGCTGACCCTGCCCTCCATTCCCTCTTACAAGGAGGACCCTAGGGTGAATTGGGAACCACCAGAACCCAGGATCATCTCACATTTTAAGGGCTTAGTCCCATCTGCAAAGCCCCTGGTGCGTATCAGGCACCACATTCATAGGTTTGGGGGACTAGGATGTGGCTGCTTTCTGGGACTGATTTTTGGATGACTGCTGCCAAGGACCCCTTTCCAGAGAGCAAGGATGTCACCATAGAGAGTAAGGTGCATCTGACCCACGTCATGTTATTTGTAGTTGCCTAGGATGCATGCATGAGTTACGCAGTAAGTAAGACACCTGAAGAATTGATGCCTCTACATTGTGGTGGTGAAAACTACTGCAAATACTGACTGCACCACCTGAAGAACAAACTAATCGGAGGAAATGCAACCACAGTGCCCTTAGAGGAGAAGCCTGGCCTGGGGAAAGGTGCATCGTGCTTGGAGAAGCAACCGATCAACAGGAGAGAGGAAGCCCCTGCGGGCACTGGGCGCAGCAGGGTTGTGGAGATGCTGTGGGGTGGTGCCAGGTGAGCCTGTTCCCGGCCTGACAGAGGTGACTGCGGCACTGCGGGGCTGTGGGGTGGTGCTGGGTGAGCCTGTTCCCTCTGCTCACTGGGTTGCTGTGAGTTGGAGGTGACGCAGAAGCACCTAACAATGCGCATACATATGGGAGCTGAAGAACTGAGGCCCTGCGTCGTGTGGGTGAACAGCACTGCCTGTCCTGGATCTCCAGGAGAACAGAACTGTGTGGAGGGGAGCACGTCCAGGCGCTGCTCAGAGGCAAGGCCTGCAGAGCTCTGTCTCCCATACTTGCAGCACGTTGTCAGGAGGGACCAGGCCACGGAAGACGACTTCGTGCTGGGAAAGGTGGGGGGCAGTGAAGGAGGGCGAGACTAGCGAGATGGTGTCTGAACCGTGGATGTGGGCACCAGGATTTACAGCTGCGGAGAACCTGGTGCACTGACTGCATGGGAGGGAGTTTGTTTTCAACGGGTGTCACACATGGTTAGAGGCTCAGCTGACGCCAAGTATGGAAGTTCAAGTCCTCAGAGTCACTTTGGAAGGAAGGCCGGATCCACTTCTGAAAAGCGAAGTCACTGGAAGCCCGTGGGGCTGACCCCCAGGGTGCCGTCGCGGGTGGAAATTAACCCCACGGCTTTCACACGGACCCCCAGGGGCCGGCGCGGGTGGAAATTAACCCCACGGCTTTCACACTGACCCCCAGGGGGGCCAGCACGGGTAGGAATTAACCCCACGGCTTTCACACACCACATCACAGGCTCATATCTGACGATCTGTCCTTGCTGTGAAGGGCGGGGGGGCTTTGCACTTGGCTGACCCTTGAGCATTCATTCTCCTCTCCACACTCCGTCTAGTCTTCCTCCTCCTCTGGGTCCCTGGTCCTTTTCCTCTGCGGCTCCACCACCCCATGAGCTGAGCTGTGGGGGCCTGGCTTCCGTGGTGCTCTCTGCCCTCCTCTCTGGCTTTGTGGGGCCTTGTTCTCAATCCCATTCTTTTCTAGGGACTGTGGAATTCCTGCCCTGGCCCTGGTGTGTGACGAGGCTTTCCCACCCTGCAGCCCCGGGAGGGGTGGGAGGAGCCACCTGTGGCTCGGCCGACCTCAGGGGACAGTGGCTGCAGTGACAGGAGGCTGAGCCCCGCTCACCTTGCAGGTCCCTGCGGATGCTGCTGAAGTTGTGGCGGCAGCGGCGGAGCCCTGCGAAGGCCTTTCCCAGGGGGTACGTGTCTAGTGACTCCCTCCTCAGGAGCCCCCCAGAGGCCTTTCCTTGTGTCCCCCACCCCTGCCCACCTGGAGAGACCCCTATATGGGTCCCACACCTCTGTGCCTGGATATGGTGCATGATGACTGTACTCTCCCAGCAGCCCCGGGGCACAGGTGGGGAGACTGAGGCTGGCAGGAACCCCCAGGCTGGTGAGGACGCCCCTGTGGAGCCCTTCCAGCCACACCCCCAGGGACCCACCAGTCTCACTGATGCTGGGAGGGGTGTGGCTGCGGAAGGTCAGGTCATTCGCACCAGGTTTGCTGGCTCCTGACCCTCCCACAGACTCTCAGGTTGGCTGTGACCCTGACCAGGCCGACTGTCCCACCAAGCAGGGCCTCCCTGCCACATTGTGATGAGGGGGGATCTGCTGCCTGTCCGCCTGTTCCCCGGGGCTTCCTCGGGGAGTGGTGAGGGCTGACTCCGTGGGAAGGCCCCTTGGCCGCTTTCTGGTCCCTGGGGGCTTGTGGACTCCCGCCCTGCCCGGTGGCCTGGGATGCCAGCATGTCTCCTTGTCCCGGCAGGCAGCCGCCCCAGAGCAGACGGAGGAGCCTGGAGGCACAGGTGTGCTCGGAGCTGCTGACCCTGCTCAGCAACCTGGCGGACCTGGCCAACGCGGTGCACTGGCTGCCGCCGGGGGTGCTGTGGGCCGGCCGCTTCCCGCCGTGGCTGGTGGGCCTCCTGGGCACGGTGTCCTCTGTCCTCAGCACGTACCAGGTTGTCAGGGCCTCTGGCAGCCAGGCTGATGCCACCAGCCCCTGACGTGGCTCAGGGAGCCAGGACACAGCCAGACCACCAAGGGCCACACCCCTGATCCAGCCTGCGGAGCGAGGACAGAGCTGGACCACAGCTCCTGACCCAGCCCAGGGAGCGCGGACAAAGCTGGACCACCAGGGACCACAGCCCCGACTCAGCCCAAGGAGTGAGGACAGAGCCAGAACCACTGAGGGCCTGTCCCACACTGTCACCAGGGTGAGGGGCTGGTCCAGACATGGGGTAACCAGTGCTGATGTCAGAGCTGAGGCCTGGTGAACCAGTGGACGTGGGGGTGACCCAAGCTCTGGGTGGGCCCTGGGGGCCGTCCCCTGGGCCTGGGGAAGGACCTGGGCTCTGCCCTGGGACAGGAGCTGTGGGCTGCACAGGCTGGTGGCCAAGCAAGGCCTTGGGCAGAAAATGGGCAGGAATAAAGGAGCCCCGGGGGGCTGGCATGGCTCAGGTGTGCAGTTCTGCTCTCAGGATCCGCCCTTTCCTGACCAGCAGGCCGATACTCTCGGGCTGGGGCTGGACCGCCTTGAGACCATGGACGATGCCCTCTCAGCCTGCGGGGTTGTACCATGAAGCCGGGAGTATCCTGGGTGCACGGGGGTGGGGGGTTGAGCAGGAGTGTGGCCGGTTCCAGGCTCGGGTGGTACAGAGCAGCTGGTGTCCTGTGGGCCTGGGCCAGCAGGTGGCTGGGTGCAGACAGCTGGCTTCAGACATGCTCACGGCCTGTCTTCTGCTGGTCACCTCGTCCCTTTTGATAGGACCATTCTGCAGTGGGCCTTGTGGTGGGGCACCTGACCTGGTGCAGGGAGCAGGTGGGTGAGGTGAGGACAGGGTGTATTTGGCAGGTTCCTGGCTGCCATCACATACTCACATGGTCCTTGACCCCAGGCTGACCTCATGCTTTGTATGAGCTTGACTGAGTGACAGACAGAGCCAAGTGTCCACAGTGACATGGGTCAGCACGTCGGGAGCGGGCAGCTGACCGCATGATGCCCGGCAGTCCTGGGCTCTGCTCTGCCTGCACTGAAGGCACCATCCCGCAGGACGCTGAGTGTGGAGTCGTCGGGCCTGAGGTGGGGCCGGGGTGGGGAAGGACCTGGACTCTGTGCTGGACAGGAGCAGCTGGCTGTGGGCTGCACAGGCTGGTGGCCATGCAAGGCCTTGGGCAGAAAATGGACAGGAATAAAGGAGCCCCGGGGAGGGGTGACACTGGCTCAGGTGTGCACAGGGATGGGGGTGCTGCTGGTGGGGGTAGGAGGTCCACAGCTGTCCTGCCAGGGGGTCGGTCCCCTGTGCATACGCACATATGCCAGGGCACCTGGAGGGCGGCTGGCTGCTTATTCTGGACACATCATCAGGCAAGAACAATTGGAAGAGGATGTGATGTTTGCAGTGTGTCTGGGGGCAGTGAAAACAAGGGAGACCCTCCGAGATGGGCTGATTCAAGAGCCACAGCAGGGACTCTGCAGATGGCACAGGAGTGGCCACCCGGGGCTGCTATGTCAGAGTGGACAGGACAGAAAATGACAGTGCTTCACCTCAAACGTGGAGACGTGAAGGGGCTGCACTGGGAGGGTCCCTGTGTGAACTCTACAGTGGACACACCCAGAGATGGGGGAGCAGCTGAAGAACAAACTGAGGGCGAAAACCTCCAAGTGTCCTGGGTGGGTGTTGGGAGCAAGAGCATCACCCCACGTCCTTTCTCCGTGAGCCCCAGGATTCCCGGGGGCATTTAGGGGGTCATGGTGTCTGCCTTGGTCCCTGCCGAGGCCTCAGGGAGTGACTGGAGATGGGTGTGCAGCTCAGCATTGGGGTGGCAGGACCAGGTCTGCATCAGCACCCCCTCACTGCCCATCATGACTTTTGAGGCACCAAAGGTTCTTTCCCCTCTGGCCCTTCAGAAAGAGGGGGTGCCAGCTGTGCCTCATTAGGGAGAGGGCTGGGCTCTAGTCCTCATGGGGTGGCACGATGCACTGCTAAATAAAAGGTCCGTGGTTTGAATCCACCGGCAGTCCTGCCAGAAACAGGCAGTTTCCACCCAGAAAAATCCAGTGTGGGAAGCGGACAGGGGTCGTCTGCCAATGGCAGTGGGTCGTTACTGGGTCCTACACTGTCACCTCTGCTCCCCTTGTGCCCTGAGAACCCTTGGCTGACACAAATTGTGCTCGATGAGTAACCAAAAGGTTGGTGGTTCAAACCTGCCCAGGAGTGCTGCATAAGTCAGGCCTGGCAACCTGCTCCCTTAAAGCTCCAGGTCACCAAGTCCCTGTGAAGCAGCTTGACTCTTAACACACAGGCCACATGAGGTAGCAGGAGGGCCTGACTGGTTTTTTTGTGCCCTGAAGCAGAGGTGAGGTTCCCTAACCACATCCTGCTTCCTGGGGGAGCCTCTGGGTGCTCCTGGGGGCTGGTGGGTCTGTGGGAGGTGACCATGCGACCGACCCCTGGCTCCTCAAGGAAGCTTTTTTCCGGATCCTGCAGAACCAGGCTCAGGGCTGCCAGCACCCACAGAGCAACAGGGACCTGGGCTCCAGCTCCGAGGGTCCTCTCCTCAAGGATCCCACACCTCAACCACTCCCACACCTCAACCACTCCCACATGCTCCCTCGTCTCTCCCAGCCCTGGAGTGGTGGCCAGCACACGGACCGCAAGGCCACTGGTGACTACTGTGCAGTGTGGCCGACCTGAGCTGAGTGTGAAGTACACCCCAGGCTCGAGGGAACGGGCAACCTTTCAGCCGTCACCAGACAAACGGCGTGGTGCATTTTAGCACGACTGTCATTCCATGCCACTGAATTGGCTGTGACTCACAGCGACCCCGTGGAGGAGAGAAGGAAATGCTGCCTCAGTTACATAAAACAGGCTTTCAGTTCCGCCCACTTGTGGCTACTATTGTTGCTGTATGTGCGGTTGACCGCCTGCGCCTCATAGGGACCCTGTGCACTACAGCTCTGAACCCCGCTCTATCCTGGGCCGGTTTCACTGTCTCTGACATACCTGCCCCCACAGCCCAGTCACTGAGTCAATCCAGCTCACCCAGGGTGGCCCGCTCTTGCACTGTCCCTCTCCAAGGACTGGTCCCTCCTGGCAACATGCCTGAAGTATGTGAGATGGAGCTTTAAAATCCTTGCCTTTAAGCAGCAACTTGGTTTCACCCTCTCCAGGACAGACTTGTTCTCTTGGTGGTCCATGGTATGTCCAAGACTCTCTTTAGAGCACCACAACTCAAAGCCATCAATTCTCCTGTCAGCCTCAGTCACGGTCCAGCTCTCTGATGTGTAGCAAGTAATTGCAAAGACCGTGGCCTGGATCAGGTGTATCTTAGTCTCCAGACTTACATCGTTGCTCTTCAGCACTCTGGAGAAGTCCCCTGTCAGCAGATTTTTCCAGTGAAATTTGTCTTGATTTCCTGACTGCTGGTGCCAAGAGTGTTGACTGTGGAACTGAGCAAGCTGTAACTGTTAACCACCTCAATCTCTCCATCCTGGTGCTGCCAATTGGCCCAGTGATGAGAATCTCTGTCTTCTGGGAAGCTTAAAGTCTTCTCACTGCTGTTGAGTTGGAACCAGTTCACAGGTGACCCTCCCATGGGTTTGCAGAGGCTGTAAATCACCTAGATGGAGACTGTCCATCTCTGTCCCTTGGAGCAGCTGGTGGATTTGAACTGGCGGCCTCTGGGTTGGCAGCACAGCTCCTTACCCACTAGGCTACGACGGGCTCTCCTTGACAGTCTCTAGCGGGTGTATATTTCTGATGACAGCAGTACCTTGGAGTTCTTTTACATCCCAGTTATCAACTGTCAGCCCTCAACTTGGTGAGAGAAAGACGGCCAAGGCTCCCCCACGTGACGTACAGCCTCTGAGCACACGCGAAGGGGCAGTCAGGCACTGTTCTCGGCAGATTCTCCTCTGATAGCGTCTCCTTACAGGCCCTGATCGGGGCCCTCTTGGCCCCCCAGTGTTGTTGTGACCCAAGTCCCACAGGGGGTGGCATTAAAGAACAGAATCCTTGTAACCCTCAGCTTGTAGCTGTGTCTCCACCATCTGTCCTCCTCAAGCCCAGGGTGTGTGTGGGTGTGTGTCCTCTGTTTTAACTACAGAAAGCCTGTATTTCGAAGAAAGGTCCTCGCTGCAGGCTTGTGGTGGAAGAATGGCATGTAGATTTCGAAAACAAGGTTCAGTCCAACTTTGAGGCAAGGCAGAAACTAGGAGCCAAGAACTGACCAGTGGGGGGTCAGCGAAAGAGGGCGACTCCACAAGTTGGCCCAAGGCGGTGGCTTCAGCAGTCTCTGGGGGACAGCGGAGGCCGTGAGGACAGGGCAGGGCTGGGCAGGCACTCTGTGGTACAGGGAGTTATCCTCACACTAACTAGGTGGCATCAACAAGAAGCTAAGAAGCCAAGTTATACTCCCCTTTGGTTATTTTGATTAAACAGAAATTCTCTACCACAGGGTCCCAGGCACTGGCGGTCACTGGGGAGACGGGCTCGCTGGCAGTGTGGCTCCCCACCCAGGACCAGTGTTTTGGCCTCGTGAGGCTGGGGGGGGGGGACGGGACTGTGGGCCTCGCCTTAGGGGTCCCAGAGTTGTGGCAGGTCTCAGACATGGAGCATGGATGTACTCAGCACCAGTGGGATGGCAGGCAGTGGGCCTGGGGTTCGCCCGGAAGTAGTGCTGAGGGGGTGACCCTGTGTGGAAGGCTGACATCTTGGACCCCCCAGGACAGGCCTGAAGGGGTACCTTGTGGGGGTCAGAGGACTATGTGACAGCTCCCTATCTCAGATTGACAGCCTAGGATGGATGGCTGCCCAGAGCAAGGGGGTTCTGGCCTCCCTGGATGCCCACCCATGCCCCCAAGATGTGGCAGCGCCATTGCAGGGACCATCTGGGCTCCATGGGTTGTGGGCTCAGGGTCTTGTCACAGTGGCAGGGGCTGGAGGGGTTCTGTGCAGCTAATGACTGCCCGAGAGGGACCACCCCCCCAGCCAACCAGGCCGGAGTCGATCGTAAAACAAACACAGAGTGCCCAGCAGAGCTCCTCCTAGAACATTTATTGCTGGAACCGAGGCAGCAGTCCAGGGCAAGGGCAGCCCTATAGCAGATGCCCTCACGGCACAGCCCTCGGCGGCTTATGAAGTTCATGGTCACAGAGTGGCTGTGGATGAAGATCAAGGTCACAGAATCGATGGGAATGCTAACATTGGCTAACCACTGGCCTGATGCATGAAATGAGACTCTACAGGGATGGCCGGGCCTGGCGGGAAGGGGGCTGAGCCCGCGGCCGCTGTGCGTGTGGCTGAGGTCAGTGGGCCCCACCTCGGGGCCTCAGTGGCCCTTAGATTGGTCATGGTCTCCGCAAACATGGCCGTGACCACAGCGGACAGGAATGGAGGTTTCTCTACACAGCAGACAGGAACGGAAAGTCAGTTCTAAAGTGCTCTGACCAGCTCAGGGCCAACACAGACGACAGTGACCCACAGACGGACGGGGCAGGTGTTTCCCGGTACGGGACCTGGCAGAGTGGATTTCCAGGGGCCAGGCCAGGGGCACCAACTACGTGCTGTGCTCAGGGTGGAACTACTGCTTTCGGTTCCTTCTCCAGACCGGGCATGGCTGGCTGGCAGCTGGTCCACATGGCCACTGGCCTGCTGGCCCCTCCTGGGTCTGGGCTGGCGAAAGGCTGGGCCCTCGGTGAGAGGTTCTCTGCATCCCTATTGTGGGAAGTCTGTGCTCCACAGCGCCCCCTGAGGCCCTCGAGTGTAGTAATCTCATTTCAGGGATCCCAGCCTCAGCCCAGCCTCACGGGGACGCCTGGTTCAGGGGAGACCTGGAGTTCAGAATTAAGTGCACCCTCACCCCACATCCAAGCTTGGGCCTGGACATGACGGGAAATGCACCCCTCCCAGCTGACCACAGGCATTTTAAGCCACCCGCGACCACCAGCAGAGTGGGGCCGGGCAGCTGCCTTCGCCCAGGAAGGCGACTCTTGTTGCGGAGGAGACCTGGTAGGCTTTGGGCTCCCTCCTGGTGGGTCCGGGGACAGCCTGGGTGTTTGCTGGGGGCACAGCCATCTCCAGAGCACCAGCAGTAACAGGCCCTTCCTCACTATTCAGCCCGGGGTCACTGGTCACCAACTCTGGCCTTGGGGTGCCTGGCTGCAGCTGAATGTGTCCCCAGCCTTTCTGGGGACACTCCTGCCACCTCTCGGGAGCCCTGGGGCTCCACCAGCCTTCTGTCCTCAGACCTAGTGGGCCTGGCACTGACCGAGGCCCCCAAAACCCCCCATAGTTGGCACTGCTGCAGAGAATCGTCTCTTCCCCCGCCAAGGACACATGGTCAGGTGTGGCTGCAGGGCTGGGTCAGCCTTCGAGGCAACGTCAAGAATGTCAGGTCTCATGGCTGAGACGGTAGAACCAGAGCACCTGCGGCCAGTGGTCATGGGTGGCTGCGTGGGAAGGGGAGAGACACAGGGGCCAGAGACCCCAGAACACGAGAGGGCAGACTCAGAGAGTGGCGTCCAGAGCGCTGTGCTGGCTGGCACCTGAGCACAGCCTTCTAGAAGAAGATGACCTCTTCCTTGCTAGTTTCTTCCTCAGCGGGGAGTGGGGCAGCCGGTGGCCCCAGTAGGAAGGATGCACCCGCAGCCAGCCGGGGGGAGACTTGCTCAGGAGGGCCGTCAGCAGGAGCAGTGCTTAGGGCTGGGGGGCCGAGCTCTGGAAGAGAGGGGAGCAGGACTGGGCTGTCAGCAATCCCAGCTCTGGAGGCCCCTCCCGTTGGGCTGCACTCACCTGAGGGTGCTGGGGTCTGGCCACTGAGCAGGATGGGGCTCAGCGGGTGGTGGGGGCGCCCCAGGCCGTCATCCTTCCCCTTGAGTTTGCCCAGGAGGAACTGCTGCTTCAGGTCAAAGGAGGCTGCAGGGGGACAAAGGCTGGATGAGGGGGTCAGAGGGCAGAGGCTGCAGGGAGGCAGAGGCTGATGGGGGCAGAGGCTGATGGGGGCAGAGGCTGCAGGGGGGCAGAGGCTGGATGAGGGGGCAGAGGCTGAGGAGGACAGAGGCTGCAAGCGGGGGCAGAGGTTACAAGGGGGAATAGAAGCTGACGGGGCTGAGGGCAGAGGCTGGACAGGGTGACAGAAGTTGGTGGGGAGTCAGAGGACAGAGGCTTCACGGGAGGAACAGAGACAGAGAGGGGACAGGCTGGATGGGGGTCAGCAGGCAGAGACTGCATGGGGGAGCAGAGCAGAGGGTGAGAGGACAGCAGACACTGGAAGGAGGGGTAGAGGCTGGGAGGGAGCAGAAGCTGGAAGAGGGGGGCAGAAGCTAAGGTGGGTTGAGACTGAGGGGGTTGCAGAAGCTGGACAGGGGTCAGAGGCTGAAAGAAGAGCAGAAATTGAAATGGGGTACAGACACTGGAACGGGACAGGAGGAGGGGCAGAGGCTGAAAGCGGGGAGCAGCCTGTGGGGGTTTAGCCTGCTCCAAACACTGGCTGCCCATCCTCAGCGAGGGCGGACCACAGAGCCGGGAGGGGTTGGTGCCCCCAGGCCTGTGCACAGGCAGCTGGCTGGGAAGTCACCCGCTCCTGTAACTGGGCACTGGGGCAGCCTCACCGTGCGGTCTCCATGGCCATGCTCTGGACAGCTCCTCACGATAAACACCCTTCTTTTCTCAAGTTTATACTCTGGAAACCTTTTAACTGACCAATGAAACATCATCCACGAAGCCAAGTAAGCCCGTCCTGTATGCCGCTGTCCATAAGCCCTCTCCTCCGGGTCCAGTCTCTGCCTCATCCCCACAGCAGCACTTATGTGGCCCTGCGTCCTGGCAGGCTGGAGAGTCCCCTCTAAGCTTGGGGGCACTTAGTTCTGTTTCCTGGCCTTCAGGACAGAGTCTCACTCTTTTGTGCTCCCCCTCACAGTTCGTCTAGGACACCCATCACCCCTCTGGGGCAAACGACACACACCAGGGAGTGCACACAGCACTGGGACCAGCTCAGGGTGTGAGTGACGGTTACTATGGCAACAATGTGCCACTCAGAGGGTCTTCACATTCTAAAACCAGGCCAAAAATATTAAGACAGCATCCCTCAGTGCCACTGTGTCTGCTGTCCAAACTCCTACTGAAAATACTGAGACGGTGCCCATCTTCACGGCTGGCAGGCGAGCCAGGCCCAGGCCACACCAGTCCTCTGTCCGGGCTGCCCTAACTTCTTGCCCTTGACCTCCTCCTGGGGCCTCAGTAAGGGCTCTGGTAGAGCATCCTGCCAGGCCCTTCTCTCTGGATGCCAAGACGCCCTGTGCCCGATCCCATGGTCTGAGGATCAAGGTAGGAAAGAGACCCGGGCCTGTCCTTGTGATTCTGCGTCTGGACTAAGCCTCCCACGTGGAAGGCAGCCTCCTGGTGTCACCACGTCTGTGCCCTTGGTGTTCTCTGTTTGCGAGGGTCCACCCACTACCGACCCTCCCGCGGGGCCCCGGCTCACCTGAGCTGTCCCAGCGCTGGCTCTTGCCTTTGTCCCTGCTGCCCTTGGTGAAGGTGGCCAGCTTTGTGGGGATCTGCTGCTGCACGGCCGCCTGCCGCTGCCGCTGCTGCTGCGTCTGGTTGGTGCTGCTGAGCAGCTGGATGGGTACGTCTCTCTTGGTCAGGCGGCTCTCGGCTGGTGCACTGTCCCGGCGGGCCACCTTGGGGTGCTCTGTGTGGTCGGGCCCGGCACTGGACAGCAGTGTGCTCATCCACACCCCTGACAGTTGCGCCAGGCCCGGGGGCCCTTCCAGTCCTTCTCCGTTGAAGCTGGGAGGGTGGCTTGGGGGCTGGGCCTGAAAGAAGACCCCCAGTCAAACGTGCTGGGTCTGCTAGCTGGAGGCTGGTCCCTCTTAGGGGTCGCGCCCCTCCGATGGCCCCAGAATGACCCCCAGGCAGACTCTGACCACCTGGCCCCCATCCCAGGTGTTAACCTAATAGAAGCCTGAGTGTCTCCTGGCCTCTTAGGAAGAGGTTTCTGTTCTGGGGACAGTTCCTGGACCAGGGCCCAAATGAGTCAGTCATTAGTCTCATGCTTGCTTTCTCTCTCTCTCTCACACACACACACACACACACACACTCTCTCTCTCTCTCTCCATTCTCGGTATCCCCACGCCCTCTCCATGACCCCCACACATACACTTCCTCCACGCCCCCACTTGCTCATTCACACCCGTGCACGCACACACACAGAACACCCCCACATTCGCTCACAGACATCCTTGCACACCAGCACGCCCCATTCAACACTCACACACTCTCCCCCACACCTTTTCATACATGCAATGTTTCCACTCACACCCTGTCACACTCAGCACACAGATAGATTCCACTTAGCCCTGCGCTCATTCACACCCATGTACACACGTCCACAGACGCGTACATATGGCTCCTTTACATTTGGACATGCGTGCACGCATACACACCCCACTCTCAGACACAGCCTTTCACACTCACCCCTCCACCCCGTGTGCTCTCGCTCACTCTTGACGCTCTCACCACGCAGACACACTCCACATGGTCATTCCCACACCCGAGCACACCGCACGTGCTCACGCAGGGTCCTGCACACACTCTCACACGGGCACCTTCACATTCCTGCACATGCGGACACTTAAAACCCACACATGCACAGAAACACCCCCCAACACTGTCCGGTGCTCAAGTCTGCCCACGTCCACACCCCACGTGCGCACACACAGGGCATACGTGCCCCTCCCCCCCTCCTGCACGCGCCCTGCCAGCACCTCCGCCTCCTCGGGCGCCGTGTTCTGCTTCTTGAGCCTCCGCAGCTGCTCCAGCCGCTCGCGCTCCTTCTCCACAGCGCGCTGGGACTCGCGCAGGTGCTCCAGGTCGTGCTGGTAGGCCTGCCGCTGGCGCTCCAGCTCCTGGCGCTCCTGGTCCAGCTGCTCCTGCAGCCGCTGCACCTCGCCCTCGCGTTCCTGCAGCCGCGCCGCCGTCAGCTCCAGCTCACGCTGCTGCCGCGCCTGCTCGCGCTCCCAGCGCTGCTGCTCCTGGCGCAGCTGGCCCTGCAGCTTCTGCACGCCCGCCAGCTCCTCGCGCTGCTTCTCGAAGGCGCGCGTGCGCTCCTGCTCCAACAGCAGGTTCCCGCGCGTCGACTGCAGCCGCAGCTGCTGCTCGCGCTCCTGGATGCTGGCCCGCTGCACCTCCACGAAGCTGTCCTGCCGCGCGATGACTGCCTGGGGGGAGGGCAGGGTGGGGACAGTGGGCGACTGGGCCACCCTCGGAAGAAGGGCCGCCCGCAGCTTCCCTAGCCCCTCACCTGCAGACTCAGGAGCAGCTGCGACAGCGTCTGGACCCGCTGGACAAGCTGTGGGAGAGGCAGACTCTGTTCTTTGCTTGCAGTTGTGAGGGTGGCTCCAGGGTGTGGACAACCATGGAGCTCAAGGCCTACCTCCGACTCCAGGCCACAGGGGCTGCCGTCTACACCCGGCTCCTGTGGAGACAAAACGTGGACACCAGGTGCGTGAGTCAGCCTGAACTCCGCAGAGGAGGCCAGACGGCTGTTACCCAGAGACGCCCGCTGAGCCAGAGGCACAGCTGGCCCACCCCCAGGGTCTGTCTGAGGTGCTCAGTAGAAGTGACAGTGTGGTCCACTGGCCTCTCCCTCATCCTGGTGGAGGCCGCTGGGTGCATCTGACTATAGTGCAGGAACCATGACTCTGCAGAGGACACGGTGCCTGGCCCTCAGTCCACTCTGCTTGTACCCTGACACTCACTGGGAGGCTGGGCTTGCATCAGAGGGGACACCTGTGCTGACAGGTACCTCCCCTGTTCATGGTCTCCCTGTCCTCCAGCTTCTTGCTACCCCTGGGGCCACAGGGGTTAAGTCCTGAGGGCCTGCCCTTGCTGATGAAATTGGTTAACCTGAGGTTAGGCTGAAGCAGGGTGGGCCAGCCCTGAACCGTTAGCTTCCTGACACAGGGTTGCAGGAGGAGTGACAGAGGTGTCATGGCACGAGGCCCTACTGACAATTACAGAGCCCCTGTGGCTGCAGTGACGTTTCCTGACAGCTGGTGCAGAGGCCCAGAGGGTGGGCACACTGCCCACAAACTCCCCCGGGGGTCAGGCCAAGTGGAAAAATGGACCTGGACCAGTCTTGTTCTCAGACCTGATGTCTAGCCTGGGAAGCCACGTACCTGGGGAGCTTCCTCGGGGGGCCCCGGGGAGTCGCTGGCCCTCCCATTGGGGCTGCTGGCTGGGCCTCTGCAGTCGAGGGGCTTGGGGTCGGGGCTGCTGGCCTTCTTCTGGAAACTGCCACCTGAAAACCACAAGCTGGGCCTGCAGGGATGTCTAGGAGCTGCCGGGGGTCCAGGGACAGAATGGGGCCGGTGGTGACAGGCACACACTGACACTAGGTGGAGAGGCCTTGGGGTCCAGCAGGGCAGACCAACACCACCTGGGGACTTCCAGAATGTGGGCCAATGTCGGGGGGTGTGGGTGGGGGGGCACATGACATAACTCCTGCCCGGTCCAGGGAAACGGGCAAAGCCCTCTGTCCAGAAGGCCCAGGGCTTCAGGGACGGAGTGGGACCTACTGGGTTGAGATTCCCTGAGTTGCCTCCAAGGTGCCTCGCAGGGATGGCAGGGCGTCCACTCACTCATGCTGCTGCTGTTTTCGTAGCCTGCGAAGGTCTCCGCCCTCCGGGGCAGGGTGCTGGGGCCACTGCCGTTCTCTGCCTGCCCGTTAGTGCTGCCCAGCCTCCTACAGAGCAGGCTCTGGATGTCCTCGACTGCGGGGGACAGAGGGGTCAGAGCTGCCCCCAAAACCCAAGGACATACTGTTCCCAGCCTCTCCCAGGACTTCCATCCCCTGGACGGTGTGTCTGTCCTCAGGTCTGCCACCAGGACACAACGCTGATGCTGACCAGCTGAGGGGTCGGGGACAGCAGTGTGTGGGGGCAAGTGGGCCTCAGAGGGAGGGGTGCCTGCCTGCTGACCCTGTGCCATGGACAAGACAGGGAGCCCTGCCTGGTCTGGGACAGGGCATGGAGGGAAGCGAGCATGGTGCCTGGTGGTCGAAAAGGCTGTGACAGGGCTGTCACGGCAAGCCCTCCAGAATGGGCCAGACAAACAGTGAGCGGTCCCTCTGGGCCCAGGAATATCAGTCATCTGAGAACACAGAGAACTGCCTCGTGTGAGGGGTGGAGGGCATCCCACGGCCACATGGTCTTGTCCTCTTTGCCCCACAGAGAGCAGTGCTGGGGGCAGGGCAGCACCCCGATCACCTTCGGGACGGTGGTGCTGGCCGGCCCTCCTGCCAAGGTGACTTGCAGCCTCTACCAGCTGCTCTGGCACCAGCTGCTCTGGCATGCCCTCCGACTGTGCTGGGTGGTGGGCTAGCTGAGGGCACTCGGCATTGCCAGGGAAGGCCGGTGCCCCAGAGCAGGGAGGCCACTGTCTGCCAGGGTCGCCAGCACAGTGGTCCTGGTGGCTCTCGAGCTGTCTCTGTACCAAGAGCACTGTCTTAGTCCACATTGGCCTGAATGGCTCACGGTGGCCCTGGGTGTGCAGAAAGGGGTTTGCCTAGCTGCACTCATACGGAAGCAGCTTGCCAGGCCTTTCTTCTGCAGTACCACCTGGCAGGTTCAAACTGCCCACCCTTTCAGTTCTAGTAGGGCGCACACCGACCGTGCCGTCTGGAGACCTGAGGCAGCTGTGTAAGGGGACCCTGCCTCGCTGTGCTTGCTGAGAAGCGGACACGTGCTCAGATGGCTTTTCAAGGCCCTGGCTTGGGTGGGTCTGAACGGCTCATCTTTCTGACGAGGGCCCCACCACGCTTGTGAGTGTTTGCTCGAGTTGTGTCCAGTGCCCAGCCTTTGGGAGGTCAGAACCTCCTGAGGTGGGGAGGCTGCAGGCCCCTGGTGAGCTCGGGCTGCTCTGTGGGGAGGCTGGGCCAGTCATGGTGGTCTCGCTCTAATGGGGGAGGAGCACACACTCCAGTGTGCGGGGACAGGACGTGCTGCCCACCCTCGCAGCGTGCCCAATCTGGGGTGGTCATGCCGCCTGCAAGCAGCCCTGGTAGGAAGAGGTGGCCTCCAGTGAGGGGTCCAGCAGTGTCACTTACTCTCAGTCATGGCGGACCTGAGGATCAGCTCCCCCTGCAGGTTCTCGGAGGGGTCCCCTCCCCGGAAGAGGAGCCGGGCCTGGGAGCCCTGGGTGCTGTCCTCGAACCCGCTCAGCTCCCACATCTCCAGGAAGATCTGCTGCTTCTCGCTGAGGCTCTGGGTGATCAGCTGGTCTTTGACGGTCAGGCGCTCTTGAAACTCCCTCAGCCTCATGGCCCGGGCCTCAATCCTCTTCCTTTCCTCATCGGCTTCGCTGAAGGATCCCTCTTCCATGCCTGAACAGCTCTCCACAGCCCTGCGGATTTCATCCATCCAGGAGTTGCGCTCGTCCTTGGAGGAGGTGTAGATCTCGTATATCTCAGGCCCCTGGAGCGAGGC